CATTCTTTGGTGAAGCTGTCTGCAACTTTCCTAAACTATATCTCCAGCATGTGTGATGATTATCAGGTCTTGCCAACACTTCCCACCTTTCAGTCTGGTCTTGCAGGTCTTAGCTCTGGGCTCACAGGTGCAGGGCTTGGATCTGCACACAGGGGACTAGCATGCCTCTCTCCTCCTTTCCCCCTGCCTCCCTCCCTTGCTCCAGACATGCTGTGGAATTAATCCTCTCCCTGCCTGGCTCCAGGCAAGCCACAGAGACTACAGCCAAACCCCCAGGCATTCCAGGGGAGAGAGGGGACAGAGAAAGGAATTAACTCTGTCCCTGCCTGGCTGCAGACAAGCCATGGAGGTATGACTAGGGCTGGCAAACCCCAGCTGTGGTCCCCCACAGTGTTTGTTAGTGGAGGGGGGGCAGGGAACGGAGGGAGGAATTTGCCTCAGGGGCCATGACAGGTCAGCTTCTGGCCACACCCTGCCTCTGCTCTGGCTAGATAGCAGGGGGGAGGGACCAGTCCAAATCACTGGAGAAGATCTTTGCCCAGCCCAGAGAGCATGCTGGGATGCTGGGGGAGTCTGGTTTAACTTAAACCAGCAAGGGGTCTGGGACAGACATTGCATAAACTTGTTTGAGCCAAATCAGTTAAGTGTGATACTATATTCAACCAGGTTTATCTGAAACCGGTTTCGGCCATTTTCAAACTGGTTTATGTACACTAGATGTCTGTGCTGTTACAGGTTTAAACCAGTTTTGATCACTTAAACTGGTTTATGTATAATGTCTGTCCCTAGCCACTGTGTCTAAAGGGTCCACGAAAGATGACTATGATCAGTCAAAAGTATGTGAATACCCACACTTACAATTCAAAGGGGTTTGCACCTCCATTCAAAATTTCCAAAGGTATCTGCACCTCCTTTTGAAGTTTCTTAGGGGTCTGCAAATGAAAAAAGATTGAAAACCACTGCTCTATGATATCTCAAAGCAAGGTGCTAATTTCTTTTCCTATTCTGACCAAGGGAAGGAAAAGATAGCAGCCCACTTCTGAGAGTAGTATGAGAGGTGCAAGTACTGAATAAGGACAGCTGGTACTTCACATGTTTGGACTTGTTTCTTTTCATTCTACCTTCTCGTTTCTCCTCAAGTTTGCTGATTGCTACAAGGTACGAAAGATCAGCCCTGATCTATATACCAGGCCTTCTGCCTACTGAGAAAAAAATTGAAATCTGCCTTGTCCTCACACTTTTCCTTTTTTTCCTGAGGTAATTGTCAAACTGGCTTGATTCTTAACTATAGTCTACAGGGCTCTGAGTACTCTAGTGGTCCTGAAACTGACCCCAGTGGATTGTTAATTGCATTCCAAGGCTGGGCAAATCTGTAGTAAGAGGGAAGATGCTTGCATTTTCTGTTGATTCAGGAAGATGAGCACATTACAGCTCACTTGGAAGTTCATCTTTATAAACATTTAGCTGTTTGAAGTGAAAATTCAGATTCTTTAGAAAGTGATGTTGGTCTTGCATGCTCGCTGGATGCATGCAAGCTGTTTTTCATGTCTGGAAATGTAACATTTTTGTTTAAATTATGGAGTTTGATAAACAGCTACCCCAAAAAGTTATTGGTAAAAAGTATACATTTTAAAGGGGGAAACATTACATAAGTATTTTTATCTCATGCAGTAAATGTTCACCAAGTATTGAAAGTGAAACCAGCTTGTACGTAATAACCAGATAATGAAGGCTGAGATGAAATCTAGAGATGATTAGCACAACTCTTCATTCTTTGTGGGCTACTTTTCAACCACACTTGGAAATGCTGTTTCTCACTTGAATTTTTCCCAATTTTGCCAACATTTTGTAAATAGTTCACCAATAAGTGTTTCAAAACACTTCTTTCTTTTGAAAATGTTACTGCATGAATGCAAGGGTCTGGGATAATTTTTAAGCAAAAGAAAAGTGCCTCTCTGTTTAACATTGAGGAAAAGATCGAGTTCCTTAGAATGGTTACTGTGAATGATGAGCTAACTATTACGGCGCTATAACTCAACAAGAGTGGGGATGAAATTTCGTTGTACATATATTATCAGGAAGTAGAGTAGCAGATATGTAATGTGTAACTGGGAAGAAAGATTTATGACTGTGACAGCATGGTTATATCACTGAACAGCACTAATGGATGTACCCTCTATCAGATGCATAAACTGGATGTTAACTGTCTAAACAATTTCTAGTTTCTAAACACTAATTATAGCGTATCTGATGCTTTTAATTTGTTCTCTTCGTGTGACTTGCTGTGTTTTACTGTCATACTGGGACAGAGACATGATATCAAATATAAGAGAAGAGTAAAGCTTTGTGTAAAGTATTCCATACTACACTTTAAACTTATTTGTCCCATTATCCTACCCAAAAATGTTTTTAAAATAAGTATTAAAATAATCAAGAATGTTACTTTTGCTACTCCATTACATTAATCTCTTTTTATCACAAGAAAGTTGCCAAAGTTCGATCCTTGTTTAAATGCCCACAAGATGCATAGTAGTATATATTATACAGGGATTACCTGCATGCTAGATTAATTCCAGTCTATATTTTTCAAACTATATTTTTTCACCATTGAGTATACTTGAAAACAAATGGTATGTGATCTTGTTTCTATGAGTGTAACGGAGGAACCTAGCCATGGATGACCTCTATCCCTTTGTTAAGCCTAGTCATGGAACACTGTCCCGCCCGCCCTTCAATTAGTACTTTCTTAAAATCAAGGATGTCACTGTTGACAGTAGTGAACGTAAAGTGTCACTCTGTGACTGACACCCGGTAGTTTCTTACAGATGTAAAGTAGTCTCTGAAAACACTATTTATGTTAATTCGAAAATTCCAGGCGTATTCCGGTTGGAGGCTAAATTCGTCAAATTCGGAAGTGATGTTAATTTCCAGTGACCTGTTTTAGATAACTTTGAATCTGTCTTTTTACCAGAAAGTTTTTCTTCATATATCCTGTGGAATAATGTTAGAGATTGTATATAAAGAGCCATAGTTGACAATTTTCTTTTTTATGTATACTCATACATAAGTATATACTTATACTTTTTATACTTACGTATTTTTAACAAAAAGACTTTTCTTTTTATGGCCTAGATTTTCATGGAAAATATATTATTTAAATAACTGACCTTTAAGCATACTCCAGAATTTTAAATAAACTCTTTCTCTTTAAAATACAAATCCAAGGTGCTAATAATTAGGGATAGTGTTTTAAGAAGCTAACTTTTTGCGTATGTGCATAGAAATTTGCCCAGACAAGACAATAATGTATCAGTCTACCTTATTTTTACACCCATGTGGATGATATATAATAAAGCCCTTAAAAATGTGGTCCTTTTATGCGTAGCGGCAGTATGTTGCTACTAATAGGGTACTTACACTAGTAAGTCAGTTGAGTACAGCAGTTGCTCTGATGCAACTTCTAATGCATCCCTCTCTGTGATAGTCTTCATATCTGGATGCCAAATTAAGGTTTCCTAGGTTTGTGCATTTATCTGATAGGTTAATGTTGTCTCCTTTTCCTGTTGGTGAAGTTTAATATATTGAGTCTCTTTCTAAAAGTAGCACACTATCTATGTGATGGGAAGAAATCACTAATTAGTTTAATGCTGCCTCTGTAGGTGGAAAGCCTGAGCAAAAGAGGTAGACCTCGTTGGACTTTTCAAGACATAACAAATGAGCTTACCCTGAGTTCTGTTTGGGAGTTCCACAGCTTGATGGCTTTCACAAAAAACACCATCCTTCCTGGTTCCTAGGCTGTTTAGTCTTAGCACTGTTTTGTCTCACCTTGGCATAGGCAGATGTCTCTTGGCCACATCTCCGGGTCAGTGTAAAGTGATTAAACTTTCCCCATAACATTATATCCATCCTTTATTTTAAAACACCTTTCAAGTCTTATACAAAACTCATGTATGTGCTTTTCTTTATACAACCATACTGCAATTCTTTTAATATTAAAGTTGATTACAAATACTGCCTTGCAACCCTTGTAAAAATGATGCATAAAATTAGCAATCCCTTCACTGGTCTTTTTTTACATATTGACAATAAATTGGTCCCATTTGCCCTCTGCTTTACAGCAGCCTAAACCCAAGACAAGTCATCAGCAAATTTAACATGCAACCACATTGGTAAATCTACCCGGCTATATGGAGAAAGAAGTAAAACAAGTAGTGAAGACTAAGTATGGATTAATACCATGTTAATTTCCTAGCTGTAGCTTTATTTAAGCAAGTTACTAACCTAAGGGGAATTTCTCTCCCTTCTGAGTATTAGTCCCGTCCCACATACACACTTCTTTCAGAATTATATTGAAGACTACTTCTGCTTCACTTTTTGGCTAAAAATGTTACTGCCAAAGGCAGGTCTAGATAGTTTTTATCAGTCCAACAGGGACAAATACCTAGTTGTTACTAGAATCAGTTTCAAGGTGGGAAACAGTAACTCCTCCAGGGTGAGTAACCCTGATCGCTCTACATTAACCTTCCTTAAATGAACTGAATGATTGTAATTTGTGATGATTTATTCAATCCCCAAAATAGAACAGTTTTGCCCTGTTCTTTGGCCTTTTTATGGAGCTCTAGATGCTCTGTAACACACCTGGATCTGATCATTTCTAGTTCTACGGTTAGTCTTTTGCTGTCGGTGCAGATAACTGAGAATAGGAGCTGACAGCTTGCTCTGACCCTGAGCTCATTTACTTAACAACAATACTTTGGGCTGCTTAAAAGTGTTGGTCTTCAGTGGAATCTGTTGCAGTACACCTGTCAGCAAGTATGGTACCTGTCAGTGGCTTACTAGAATTTGTAAAGCAACAAAATGGTGTAAATTGTCAGGACTCAGAAGGCATTGAGCACGCCTTAATAAATTGTTACCTCCTGCCAAAGGAACAGAATATTTAAAAAAAACAAACTCTTAAACATACTTTGTCTTTTATTACCTGACTGATATTTTTATTACAGGAACGCTGACCCAGAATGAGATGATATTTAAGCGCCTCCACCTAGGTACTGTCTCTTATGGAACAGATACAATGGATGAAATTCAGAATCATATTATAGGTTCTTACTCACAGGTATTTAATTTTATAACTTACTTTACTTAAGGGTAACATGTTTTATTATTACTGAGTCACTGTCATGCCATTTAGATCTAAAACTGTGGGATGTCATGAAAGTTCTCTTTAAAGGGACATAACTGGAGGCCTACTTGCAACTAACATTTTATTTAGAACTGTGCATTTTCAGCAATAGGGATATAGTGTTGTTTGGGACCATTTGGAGATGCATGCTGCTCTCCTCTATAACATCATTACCTTTTACAGCAGGAAAGTGATGGGATTGAGTAGTAGGATAAATCCTGAACTGTGCATCAGGTGTTTAGACCCATGGTAGCTCCTTTAGCTTGGGTTCATTTAACTCTGTTTTGGACCCAGTTTAATTCCTGGTAGCTTGTAGAGGAGAGGGGAGCGAGCAGACATTATGTAAAATGTAAGTTATGGAAGTTGTGGCTAGAAGCCTTGAATCCTTGTGTATGTCTTCATTCTTCTGCACACCCTGATCAATAAACCTGCTTCTTTTGGGTGCATATAAACATTACATTTCTATTGCAGGAATTGTAGTTCCACCAGTAGAAACCCTTAGTATACAAGCATTCATGCAGTTCCTACCAAACTGAAATGGCAAGTTCAATATAAACTTCTATCACCTCTAACAAGGTAGAAGTTGTCTTGCCTTCTATAAAGTTTCTGCCAGAGGAATGAATGCTAGTACACTTGCTGTACTGATAGAAGCTTGCGTGCTGTCTTCTGGCATCCCACTGTGCATTGCTGTGGCAGTCCCTCCCACTCCAGAGAGACAGTCTGCAACTCAGGTGGCCTCTACTGCTCCAGTCAAGTCACAGAGCAAACATCTCCCCATGTCAGGTTTGGGCTGAGAGGGCCCAGCCCCTCTCCACAGCCTTAGGGCTGTGCAGCTGACAACCCCACTGACCAGCCTCTGGGCTTTTAATGCTGCCCCCACTGCCCAGTTGGTCAGTAGGGGTGGCGTTTAAAGCCCAGAATTTAGGAACTGCGATGGGGAAGCCATCACTGCCCACTCCCCAGACCAGAGTCACTAGTGTGGCAAGTGGACAGGTGGCTTTGCCTTGGTGCTCCAGACCCCCCTGGGATCAGTCTGGGAGGCGAGGGGAGCAGGGGATAATGTTCCCCATAGCAGGGACTACCCTGCATGACATTTCAAAGCTGTGTGTCTGTAACCCCAGATGGAGCTGCAGACACCACCTTTTAAGTGTGGAGCAGGAGGGAGCTTTTCCCCTGCTGGACACATGCAGGGCTGCAGACACAGGCTTTGAAGTGCCTGTGGGAGGGAGAAGCTCCTGGCTCCAGGACTTGAGAGCCCTGCACCCACAGCCCCATGCTTGGGGGTTGCAGGTTCTGGCTTCCAAATGCTGTACAGAGAAAAGCTTCCCCTCCCAGGACTTCAACAAAAGGTGGGGGAGAAAGTAAAAATGTAAATGAATCATGTGTTTTTAAGATGCAACATTTCAACATTGTATTTCAAAACAAATATTTGACAGATCCCCCAGTTCTAAGCCAAATGTTTAATTTCAGATACAATATTTTATTTGCTTCAAAATAACCTTATTTGAGGTTTTAATTTTTGTGAGAAAATGATTTCTATTGCTTTGTTATGAAATTATTTCAAACTGGATCATTTTATTGAAAAGTCACTGACACACAGCTGTACTTATTTACCACTTCAGTTTTGGATGAAGCACCTATGAGGTTTTCTGAACCATCAAATTCAAACTCAGATTCTAGTCTAAATCTAATGTAAAATAGAATACATTACTGACATCATTGCATCAAGTTAAGATATATCCAGGTACTTCTACTTGCTAAGATCTGGACCTTGCAGTAAATAATTTATTCAACAAGTCTAGCCTGTTTATTTGTGACTTATCAGTTACCCACAAAAATACTTTACTTTTTATTTGTATTGGATCAGTACTCAAAATTTAGCCATATGGTTTATGTGAGCACAGAAGTGAACTGTTTGCCGTCATAATTTGATATTGGCAATGTAATGGATTTCTTAAAGTACATATTGGTTTTTTGCCTTTTGGTTGGATAATTCCAACATATTACCCTCTCTGGGTCTTGTGTCTAACATCCTGACAGCTGAGAGGAAGGGAAAAGTTGTTGTGAGGAGGGTGGCATGGTCCCTTGGAGTAGGCAGCCAGTCCGCCCTGCCCTGTGTTCTCAGGTGCTGTCAACCATCTCCAGGGAGACTTGGGAGCCTGCAAAGCATGCTGGGACAGGCAGAGCACGCAGCTGACCCCTTGAGAGCTTGTACAGTGTTCTGTTGGTTGGGTTTCCAACTGCTTAAACTAATCTGTTAAACTTCTACTGGTTCATCTGAACACTTACGCATACCCTTACTATCCTTTTCTAAAGCTAAGATGGATTTTTGAAAATTCTTAATGATTATTGTCATTGCTTAATAGCTCTGTTTGGAATCATGTATCTTAGGAAAAACTATGGATTTTTTTTTTTTTGTTCCTCAAAAATAAGAGTCCAAATTCAGCCTAGAGTCATAGTGACTAAAATACATTTCCAACTTGAGAGCTATAAGGTACCTTATATAAAAAGAATTATTAGATCTGGATTGTATAGATATCCAATTAACCGCAACAAAATTATGGTTTATTGTCTTAACTGATTTGGGTGTAGTCTCTAAACTACTGTCTTAAACTAAGCAATAATTTCGCTTGGAGAAGAATGTGTTTCCAGTAAAAAGAACTGTGTGCTGCATAACTGTTTTCTTAGCTAAAATAGAAGCTTAGGCATTTTCTATTGAGAGAGCTTGTTAATATTTGCTATTAAATGACAGACCACCATATTTTCATATTTATTTTTAAGTGTAAGGCATTAAACACAATTTTTTTAAAAGATTGTATGATAAGCTATTTTTCCAAGTATAGAGAAAAGTTATACAAATCCAGTTTGTAGTTGTTAGATAATGGAATTGAATGCAACTTTCCCATTTTTCTAGAGCATCTTTCTTTTTGTCAATTTTGCATATTGTTACTTAATGTTTAAATAATGTTTTAATTATATGGTATATTGCTAACTGCCACTAAAATCAGAAAAATAAAGGAGCTCTTTTGTGCAAAATAATTATTACAGATCATTTCAATCCCAAAATATGGTGACTTTTTTTTTATTTAATCTATTATAATAGAAGCTGCCAGTTATTTAGACAGTGGTTCTTATGTGACATTGATTTTATCCCTTGTTTGTGTTCTGTTTTATTATTAAGATGACAATAGTCTAGTAGGTCCACTGTAATGCAACACACAAATCTATTATAACCTGATTATATTTCCCCACTGGAAGCATTTTGTGATAGAGGGCATAATCTTTAATGGAATTTGTGTGAAATTAAATTATACAAGCATCAATAAACATAACATAATTCAGAAGGAGTAAATCAGCTTAATTTATTTGCTGCTGTAATGGCATCAGTGTTAGCAGAATGCAAATGCAGAGGTTTAAAGCAGTAGCTGAAAAGCAGTGCCAGATGAGCAGAAAGTTAAACCCTTTATTAGACAACACTGTAATTTGATGGGCAGAATGTTCACGGTTCAGCAGATCAGTATATCCAGTCAAAGGGAAAAAAGGCTTGGTTTCTAAAGAGGATTTCTGAGTTACTCTGAAGTGAACAGGAAAGTATTTGAGAATATTGTTAAGATGAGGGAAGGTCCAATACATTCCAAATGTGTTTAATTTTAACATAAAATATAACACTAAGTTAGGGGTTATTGCAAAAACTGCATAATTTTAAAATGAGATGTAGACATTTTCCCCCCCTGCATCACAGGTATTAATGGAAGAATATTTTAAAGTTACTTTATTGTCTTCTGCCAATGCCAGGCAATCTGATAGTCTGAAGAAAAAGAATGTTACATGAACTAGATTAATTCACAGATAATGTAGAAATAAGCTAAGTTATAATTGAAATAATTAATATTTTTTATTTTCATGCCTTGTGATGTTTCTGTTTAAGAGTAATAATAGCATAGAAAAGTTACTAATAGTTCCATGGGGTATGCTCATGCTTTTGAAAACCAACATTTTGGGTCACATTTTTTGAAAAAAGGACTAGTGATTTTAAGATGTTTAACTTCTGGGGTTTACAACTAGATGCATATTACAGGAATTTAATTTACAGAACATCCTGAGTGTCCTGAGCATGGGAAGATGATCTTGTGAAGTCTCTTCCAGCCTATTTTCCCATGATCATATGATCTACTGTCCAAGCATCAGGCTTCCCTAAAATGCTTCATGTTAGACACACATGCATGTCACTTTTGAAAATCTGGCTATACTTCCTGGCCTACAAACTCAACATTCAAAACTGATAACAAAAAAGCTAAATCCTTGGTTGGGGGAAATCATCCTACATGAACAACAAAGGGACGTGCAGGAAATGCAGAAAAAGGGTATATGGCACTGTTTCAGCGATGTCATAGTCACCTTGTTATCTACTGGCTAAAAACATTCAGAAACATAATTCTTTTTTTCTGAAGGGACCATTATTTGAGGGACTGTAGGAAAAGGTAGAGTTTGAGGTAAGGAAAATATGTAGCTTACAGAGTCAGGGACAGTTAGAAATTGTTTGAGTATCCACTACCATGAAGTGCTTGCTTTTAAATGAGCATTTCTCAATAATTTTCCATTTTGGGGACTGTTATAATGAATGCAGACTAAAACTAAAATGGCTAAAAAGTAAGATAGTGATAGATCTGGCAAAGGCAAGCAAAGTGGGGTGATATAATATTTGTCTATACTATAGTGCTCTGCTAACACTGGTCAGGACTGAGGTGCGATACTCCTTGCATATTCCTGGATCTCTTCCAAAGCTGTCAATCATAGCAAAAGGTAGTATATATATGGTAGTTTGAGCAAAGAGCCCAGTAGTAGCCTGAAACTCGTTTTTTGTGACAGGCCACATACTTAGGCAGTCTTTTTCAAGGTAACTTTTCTTGTATACATTAGTGTTCATCTGTTTTATATTTCTTTTAGTGGATTTATTCATTATTTATTGCCTTGAGTGTTTGATCTCTATATTTTAAAGATGCATTCCCAGTCCAGTGGAAACAGTACCAGTTCAACACCTTCCAGAAAAACCCAGTCTTCTGCACCCAAAGTCCGCAAGAGTGTCAGCAGTCGTATACATGAAGCTGTGAAAGCTATTGCACTGTGTCACAACGTAACTCCTGTGTATGAATCCCGCACTGGAGTGACTGCAGAAACAGAATATGCAGAAGTGGATCAAGACTTCAGTGATGAAAATCGTACATACCAGGCTTCCAGCCCTGATGAGGTTAGTGTTCCTTGTTTTTAAAGAAATGTTATATTTTTAAACTCATCACATCTTACAAAATAACACTTAAAAGGAAAGCCAAGTTTGGGTGACTCTTTTCATCCTCTTATCTCAGTTTGAGCGGGGAAAATGGTTATTACACATGTATGAAGAAAATGCATTTATATTTTAAGTGAATGGAGTAAAGATCTGATATTTTAGGGTGTATTCAGGCATAGTCTGACTGAGAAGCCCAGTATGTCGGTAGCTTGGATCAACATTGGTTTGTTAGATGTGAAAATATTGCACATGTGAAAGTCTGTAGTTAGGTATGCACGTTGATTTTCACCAGATGTATTCAGGAGGAGATGCATATAGAGGTTGTCAGTGAAACATATTCAGCTTTCACCTTCTGCAAATGGTTGGACTATACTACCTATTATATAAACCAGGAGTATCAAACTCACCAGGTTCATACACAATATCACCAAAATCCTAGTTTTCATACTACAGGCCTTATCAAAATAGAAACAAACTATAGAAAACATTTTCTAGAAATTTAGGCCCGTGACATTTGTTGCCATCTATCTTCACATAGCACCAAAATAGCAGATCTTGTGAGAATTTAATTTGCTATATACATACTCCACAGGGACTAGGTATTGTAAAGTGAACCCATATAGATAACTAACTTGGTCTCCCCAGTAATAAAAATGGCAACCTAGGACAATCATCTGTAATCAAGGTAGGATTTCAGACATCATGTTTTGGAATTAATAGTCCCAATATTGGTAATATATAAGCAGTTGTATATATTTTAATGTCATATGTGTAAGCTACATGAATATGGTTATGCAGAAACTGTTAATATAAGCAAGTAATAGTTGTAATTTATTGTAACCCAAATTTGGGTTATCACAGTTGCGTATTGATTGTTGGTTGGTATTCTGAACTAAATAAACTACCTCAAAATTAAGAAAAATAGCATCAAAACTGAGGTAGAGATCATTAAAAGGGGGGAAGGAGATTTTTAGGTAAGAAATGCAAATGAAGAGTAAATGACTAAGCACTAATGTTCCTTTGACCCAGAAACTAAAGATAGCCCTAAATCAGACGGCTAGAAACTCAGGTAGGAAAAATCAATTCCCCATGCCTCGCACTAGGCTTGCCCTCCCCCTACCTCTGCCCCTGCAAGTTGTACGTGGAGCCTGAATACCCTGCTCTGGAAGAGAAAAAGATATAACCATATCAACTGAAAAAGGCAAGTATAAAAAAAAACTGATAGCAGGAAAGTGCTTGGTTTGTGAAGCAAGTAGGAAGGTCAGGTTGGTATGTCCTGAAAAGTTAAAAGGCAGCTATAGGAAGATGATCAAAAGAAGGGATAAACTGGAAGAAATAATCAGAAGAGAATCTATTATAGACTGATTTGACATGGAAGGAGGTAGAGAAGCCTCTCTCTGAAGAACATTTTGTTCACCCGAACTTGTGTTTCAACTAGAAACTAATGGAGTTAAACCACTCAGCCAGACATCCTTTGAAAATCTAGCTTTAAGTGTCCATTTTATCTTTGAAAAATAATTTGTCTTTGAAAATCCAGTAAAATGATTGTATCAAACATTTGTTTTAATATGATGGAATATTGATATTAAATAAAATATCTTACAAAAAGATGAAGCTCCAAAAACACTTAAATAACATAAACATTTCAACATGACAACAAAAAAGCTGAGAGTGAAAGACTAGCAGGTCTTTATCATAATTTTTTAAAGAGCTCTATTGATGCAATGTTTGCAAATCACTGGAGCCTAAGGAAAATAATGTAAATGGTTCATTATTTAGCTTATTGAACTTTCCTGCAGTTAGGTTGACGGATGATGCCAATGTTTCCCAATCACCAAAGTACCATTTTAAAAGCATTTTTTATTGAATAAAGTGCTCTAAATATTGCACCCTGGAGCTTTATTTAGGGAAATAGTTCAATTGATGTTTTCTGTTTAACCTCAGCATTGACCTATCACAACATATTTGGTTAATAAGCAACATTATCATTTAATAGACTTAACCAATTTTATATGTTGTATTTGCTCTACATTACAACTTAGTTCCCCGAGATTTTGTTTATTAATCTGGAGTGACTGTTGTGTTTTCAAAGAAGATGTAACATATTTCTCTTAATCTTTCATGTTATATAGTCTAATATAGCATATCATCTGGCTGTTAGCTGTTACATGAAAAACTAGATTTCTTCCATGCAAGATGCACAGGACACGTTTTAATATTATAATAGAATGTTTACGTAGTAAATGAATCAACAGGAGGAACTCATTTGAAATTACTCATGTTTCCATTTTTGTATGTTATGTTCAAAACAAAAAGAGAGATGCTCTAGCTTTGATGGTCTAGGTGTTACGCAAGAAGTAAGGTTTTTTTTTAAATAGGTGATATCTTTTATTGGGTCAGCTGCATGGTTGGGACAAAGTTAGATCATTTTTTGAATGCCAGGCATTCTTCATCAGGTGAAAGCTTGTCTAATTTTATCCCAACCAAGCAATTGGTCCAATAAAAGATATTGCCAACAAAAATCCTTTTCTCTCACAAAACAAAAGGACACATTTTAGATGTACATTCATCGTAAACTATGTGCATATTGTATTATTAGAGCAACCCAAGATAAGTAACTGATTTTGTATTCTTAATGTGGGACCTACTTATGCCAGGCTCTTTGTTTCTTATGATAAGTGATCAATATTTCATTTTGTCTCTAAGAGTGGAAAGTTTCATTCATCTGTCACTTGTGTCCACTACATCTGCAACATAGCAAACAATATGCACACACTGGGAACCCACTGACACAGTGAGAACCATTCCTTGCTCAAGTTTTGCAAGTGTGTGCACAGTTCAGTGTGGAAAGCCAGTGCTAACTTAATGTAATGAACAGTCATAAAAGGATATAAACTAAATAGGTAGAGCAGTAAAGTTCAAAGGTTACAGACCTAAGTAATTCAGGGGCATGCTATGAACAGGAGCCTTTGAAGACCTTTGGCCCCCTTTGGTCAAAAAAGATTGATTAGTCGTGATTTTTAATGACTGCTTACTCTCATAAACTAGCTATTTATTGGTTACACTTTTCCCTGCATTATTGTACTCCGAAGTATTCTAACTCTAGCATTTGAAATATTTAAATATTACTTTAAAGCCTGGTCAGTCATCACATTAAAACATTTATGTCCAAAGACAGCAGAGTTGCTAAAATTAATTACAAGGATACAAAGCTGATCATTTAAAACAGACAGGGAAATGATATGCCCTTAGTAAGGCAGCTTTTGTGTTTACAAAAGTAAAGCTGTCATGTATGAGACATGTTGTATTGTTTAATTCATTTTATTGTGTGTGCTTATTGAAGCAAGACTAATTGTGTTGTTTTGTCAATGTATTGTGAAGAGCAAATCATTCAGTGGCATAAAACCATCACTTCCATGACCTTCGAGACCCACAAAGAATAACTGCTCCATAGCTTGTCTTGAATATTGACCAGCAGTTTTTCCAGATGATCAAGCTGTATTTTTTAAGTTAATAATTTTAATATATTTTAACCACGAAGATTGCTAAGCAAAAATGATAACATGCAAGTGCCAGTCATCAAATCGTTATTCATAAACATAAACAAAGAACTGAGAATGTTCTGTAGTACTGATTGGAAATCCTTGAGAATTGTTATAAAAAAGGTAGGAAAAATTCCCTAGAGGTTTTACTGAAAATATTTTGGACACTATCAGAAAAAGTCAGTAATAGAGAAGCAATGAAATAACATTCTCCTTGCACCTACTCTCAAAGAACATTTTCAGTTTTAAAATATCTTGTATATACTGTACATATATTTTGCATATCAGGTTGATTTTGTGTAAATCAAAAATAACTTTCCAGTTACACTAGAGGCATTGAATTTCCAGATGTTTTGCATAGAATCATAAGATCATAGGAAGGTAGGGCTGGAAAGGACCTCACAAGGTCATTTAGGTCCCACCTGCTGCTCAAGGCAGGATTATCCCTGACTAAAACATCTCAGCCAAGTTTGTCTAGCATGTTCTTGAAAACTTCCAAGGATGGAGATTGCACAGTTACTCTAAGTAGCTAGCTCCAATGCTTCGACCACCCCCATAATCAGAAAGTTCCTCCTAATCTCCAACCGAAATTTCCCCTGCAGAAGCTTGAGGCCATTGATCCTAATCTTGTCTCCCATGGCCAAAGAGAAAGGCCTATCGCCATTCTCTCTAAAATCGCCTGTCGGGTATTTGAAGTCTGTTATCAGATCCCCCCTCAGTCTCATTTTCTTCAGACTAAATAACCCTAGTTCTTTCAGCCTTTCCTCATAAGTCTTGCTTCCCAGGCCCCTAATCATTCCGTTGCTGTCTGCTAGACTCTTTCCAAACTGCCTTTGTCCTTCTTGACATGTGGGGCCCAAAACTGGATGTAGTACTCCAGGTAAGGTCTCACAAGTGCATCTCTGGAGCAGTGCAGCCATGGGTACCAAGGCTGTGACCCTTACGCAGCAGCCTTTCTTTTTTATTGCAAATTGCATCTGCCATCATTATTTTAAAAAAATCCAATTACTTAAAAACACAGAGCTGCCTAGTTTAAAATGTAACTCATATACTACCAACATAATAAATGTTACTTTTATTTCTTTCATATGATAAAGAAATGTCCTCATCCCTTCCATCTCAATATGGGAAAGAATTTGATAAGATAACTGAGTGGACAGGCAGCCACAGGGCTCCCAAGGGAAGGGAATAGGAGAAGGAAAGGGCAGGTAAAGCTGCTGTAGAGACTGCTTCTCTCCCCCTTGGCTCAGAAGTCACACAAAGATTTATGCCTGTGGCAAGAAAAGAGTTTAGCTTTGTCCCTTCCACCTAATGGCTAGACTGTGTGTGGCAAACAGGAGGGCTGATATTTTTTTCACAGGCCTCCTTGCTTTATGTGAAGTCTTCGGTATCTGTCCCACCCTTCCTGCCCTATAATGC